TGTGTGTGTGTGTTCACTTTCTGGAATAATGTGAAATCACTTTTGGGTAATTGACTTTTTAAGTTTCCATTATTTGAAATTTAGATGACAATATCTATTTCTATATTGTGTTTTTTGTTGAAAAAGAGCATTGAAGGAATTTATATGTATACATTTGTCGTCTATAAATTGATTGAATACACAATTTTTCATATAAATGACAATCTCATAATTGGCAAAAATAAAAGCACGCTCCTAAAGGGTAGGAGGGAGATAGATATTTGATTTTTATACGAATTTTTTTATTTTTGTGTGTGTGTGTTCACTTTCTGGAATAATGTGAAATCACTTTTGGGTAATTGACTTTTTAAGTTTCCATTATTTGAAATTTAGATGACAATATCTATTTCTATATTGTGTTTTTTGTTGAAAAAGAGCATTGAAGGAATTTATATGTATACATTTGTCGTCTATAAATTGATTGAATACACAATTTTTCATATAAATGACAATCTCATAATTGGCAAAAATAAAAGCACGCTCCTAAAGGGTAGGAGGGAGATAGATATTTGATTTTTATACGAATTTTAAAAAATTCATACTTCGAGTTCATTAGGTTAACCGTATAACCAAGCATGCTCGATGTGATACATGAGTTTTTGTCCATTGCTCAAACGAATTGACTTCTTAAATTTGTTCGCACGTAGAGATCTTAGTGGTCCATTGAATGTAAAATGAGCAAATTGAATTGATGATGAACTAGTCAAATGAATCTGGAATAGAGTTATCTCAATTTTGTAATTCGTATGCTCAAAATCAAAACAGACGTAGATCACTAGTGGCAAAATGTTCCATAAGTTACAACAAAGTGCGCATACATAATAATAAAACATCAAGAAGGAATTCGAACATCCTTGTTATTAGTGAAGAAGAAGAGAAGGCACAAGGCATACCTATTAAGAAGAGAAGGCAGAAGAGAGAAATTCTTCATCCTCCAAAAATATCTGCAGATTTTTAGTCTTCATCAAGAACTCAATAGCTGCCTCATCAAATTCCATGATAAAACCTAATTTGATTAGTTCAGCAAGCTTTTGAGTATGGTCTTCTTCATCCCACAGAAATCCCTCAGAAATTACTTCACAAAAATATGTTGCGCGTTCGAGGACATTCTTATGACCACCTGATTTATCCATCTTCTGCATAAAAAACTTTGACTTCTCTCTATCCCAACGCATCAACTTTCTTGCACTGACATTCATGATTTCCCCCGAAGAAAGTGGTAAACTGTAGTCCACGGTTATTGGCGTTGCTGTCTCAAGAACAGTAATTTTGAGCAAGCCTTTCAGAGCATCATGCCTCTTCTGTACTTCAATTTGGAGATCAGCAAGAAAACCAAGAATTAGTTTAAACAGACCTCTTCCAATGAAAACCTCTTTTGGATTCACCTGCATGGGAACAACGCCGTCAATTGCAGATTGCTCACTTTTCTGAACAGATTCAGATAAATTTCGCACTCCAATTTCTCTATAAATATCAAGCAACTTCTTTCTGGGCAAGGATTGCAAAGATGGCTGAGGATACCAGACGAATAGCGGCTGCGAAGCAAACTGTTCAAAAAGATCCTTCAGGCGAAGATCATCGGCAATGAGGACGTCATATTTGTCCATCAACGAAATTTTATCTGAACCAGACAAAACCGGGAGTTTTAGTAAGTTCTCAGAAAGAACTTTCTGTGTCGCTTGACTCCAATGCTTGGCAACAAAAGCCCAAAAGGCAATGCATTCATCATGGGATAATAAGTGGCCAGAATCCTCCCAATCCTTCCAAAGCTTGCAGTAGTCATCAAGAGAAGGATAAGTTTTAACTTGTAGAGCATTAGAGAAGAAATTCAACAATTCATCCTCGTAATACTTGTCCAAAATGTTCAACTGCTGACCAAATAGACCGTCTTTGTCATGAAGAACACAGTCATCAGAACTTACCCATTCACCATCATTAGAACCATTTGGAATCCATATTTTTGCAGCATCTTCACTGGTGAGTTCCCAGTTCAACTTATTTAAGCAAGAATAGATCCTCTTGATAGCCATAAAATTTGTATGTGCGTCGAGGTAACTGGCAAGCAATGCGCACCCTTTTCTCTTTTCAACCACAACTCCTAAAGCATTTAGCTCTTTTGAATAAGAACTTATGATAGGGCCGTAAAATCTTTCGTCGATGAAAGGCCCGTCCTCCCGCAATAAGGTAGAACCCCAATCAGAACCAAATAGCAGACACTTGTCTGGAGACCTATAACCGGCATGGGTCTTTATCCAGTTCCGAGCAGCTTTTTGTGAAAGAGTAGCAATTAAAGGCTCATCCTGCTCTCTCAGCAAATTCCGAATGCATTCCAACAATGAGTATGCAGCTTCAGCAGTGATGCTACTGGGATCTTGAGGTAAACGAAGGCTTGAAGCCACAAACTCAGCACCATACTTAAAAGAAACAACAACTCCCATTCTCTGAAGTTCCGTTTTGTAGTCGTGAATGCCCTCACCATAGTAATTCTCACCATCATCAATTAAAGGCAACAGAGATATCGAAGAGATAGATGTCCAGTCTGGGCCAAACAGAATGCAATCTTTTGGTGCTCTGCAATCAGTAAGTCGAGTGCGCAGCCATTTAACCTCTCGAATGCACTTCTTGAGATCCTTGGGGAATTTAAAAGCAGTGCCTTTCAAATTTTTGTAACATGCAAGAAGTGAAAGGACACTATCTTTATTTATAGAAGATAGTGATGCTTGTTGCCTAAACACATGAGAAAATGCTTTTGTTGCTTCCTCAAAATCAACGATCACTCCTATTTTCTTCAATTCATTTCTGAACGACAAAATGCTTTCTCCATAAAATTGATCATCAACAAGAGGAAAACTATTGAAAACTTGCAGAAGGCAACCCCATGTAGGATCAAACAGATAACAGTCAGCTGGAGATTTGTAACCCATGTTTGTCTTCAAGCGGATCTTATCTTTGAGAACTCTGACAAGTTTGTCGGATGAGCTTAAATGACTCGTGCACTCCAGCATCAAGAGAACAGCTTCGGCTGTCAGAGACGTAAGGCATGCTGGAGATTTTAAGTTGTCAACAACAAGTTTGTGATTTCCACATAAGTCAAATACCACACCAAGAAGCTGAAGTTCCGTACGAAAAGAAAGAATTTCCTCGCCATAATAGTCACGATCAATAAATGGAATATCACTAATTTGAGAGGCAGCCTTCCATTCTTCATCATAAAACACAGATTCTACAGGGCTCCTGTCACCTTGGGAAGTCCGTAGCCATTTTTCATCCTTTATTCTGTTGATGAAGTGATAAGGAGGAAGAAGTTTATCCCTCAAAAAACTGATGAAACTCAGTATTGAAATACCATGGACTCTGTTTAGAGTGGATGAAACAACTTTCGACATTAGATGATTTCCAATATATTCACATGCTTCACTAAATTCAGTCATAACCCCGACTTTTCTCAACTCGGCCTTATAGTTTGATATTTCTATACCATAAAAACTTTGATCCACCAATGGTATATCAACAAGCAATGATCCATTTTGAAGAAGGCATTCCCATGAAGAGGTAGGTAGGAATGATTGTGACGGTGGCTTGCAGCTAACACTGCCATTGAGCAAAACCTGAAGCCAGCTTCCATTCTTTATGCAGTTAAAAAACTCGCTTGGCATGTAAATATTCTTCTCTTTCAAGTTACGAATCCACTTTAAAAGCAAGTAAGCATTTTGTTTGGTTAGTAAAGAAAAGAAGTTTGGGATCCGTGCGTCTGGAGGGGGCAAATCAGGTATATCTAAAGCTGCGACATGAGATTTAAGAAATTGAAGAAGTTCTTTTTCATGGGTAAGAATACCAGCATGCTTTCTTGACTTCAAATAATCTTTTCCCAGTTCAACATAACCTTCATTTCTCCATGGAATTGAACCAATCAATTGCACCCAACTGCTTCCATTAGCAGGGACAAGAACCCCTTGTCTACTTCTGGTCACCTGCCCATAGTTATTAACAAGTGGTATAGAACCATATACATTATCATCCTCCATTCTTGGTAGGTATTTCTGTCTAAGCGAGTGATAGAGGAAATGGACATAGGTAACAACACGTTCTGCGTCATTACCGAGCGCCTCTTTCAGAATGAGAGCATAATCATACACACATACAGCACTAACATTCACTTCTTTCATGAGCCAGTCATGTATTGTCTGCCTCTTGGAATGTGAAAAAATTTCACACTGTGTCGACTTGGGAAGGAAAAATCGATTATTAGCACATAGGAATTCCCCATTCCAATCAATCAGCCAAGAGATTTGATCGAACTCTTTTGATAAAAGAATCTCTCGACATTGAGAGACTTCATTTATTCTACATAGAGACACTTGAGATTGTGCACTGGAATACTTAAGGAGTGGTATTTCCACAATGCTAGTATTTGAGAAGGATCTCCAGTTCTCAGCAATAAATAAAAGAAGCTCCAAATAAAGATCTTCTGATACTCCCAGCACAAGATTGGAACTCCCGACACACATTGCATACCATTCATCGTTGACGTACTCTACTCCCAAAAAATTTAGTATGTGTTCGTACTTCTCCACATCAAATGCAGAGCTTAAAATATACTTTCCATGGTTTGAGATGTCATCCAAGCTCAGTCCTTGTTGCCTAGCCATCTTTAACAGATTCCAGAAAGTAGGCATTAATCTTCCAACTTCACGGGGTTTATGGAATAAATTCTGCTCTGTGTATGATTCACAAGGAATAATACTTTCTTCCATCAGTTCTGATTGGATGGATGTTCTCACAGAATCAAGCAGATCATAAGGAGAATTCAAGATTGGTAAGAAGCCAAACATCCGCGGCAGAAGAGAAACAGGAACATCTTCCCTTGATTTCACAAGTGAAGTAAATGCATTAATAAAAGCAATATGCACACAGTTAAGAATACCCTGGTTCCAAGTGCAATCCAAAAGGATCGTTTCCCTTGATGATGCTAGAAGAAAATCTGCCTGAATTATGAAAGGGAAATTTGTAGCCATCTCTGTAGGAAGGAATGCATAGATCCCAGGGGATGTTGATCCTCTATGAAGACGCTCTCCATTGGGAAAAGCCAATGTGATCACCCATTCTTCCACTTCCATTCTTCTTTCTACCCTATTTTCCTGTCTGACGGGAAATCTCTGCCTCCACATATGATAGCTGCATTCTGTCTCCAAGTTATCACATTTTTCATCAGTAGAGATATGGAGCAAGTAGGATTCAGCGTCGATATTCTTCCTCGTAACAAAATTGGTCTCGCTTGAGATGGAAATTGCCGTCACTGTATTGCAACTGGGATCATCAGTATCTTCCCTAACAGAAAGCCTCTTTATCTTTGACAGAAACAACAAAAGTTCTGGATGAATGCTTGAAAGCTGTTGCTTCACAGGCTTCACCTTGTCAGGTTTCAGAGGTAGTACTATCGTTGTAGTTGGAAGGTCAGAACTTGAGCCATAGATATGCTTTATATCCGAGAGAATTGGGTTTTCCTCAACCCATTCAGGGACAATGTAGCCAACGTTGCACTTCGAGCAAGGGGATTCGTTAAAACGAATCTGATAGCCATTGCTGAATATGTATGGCTGAGAAGTGATTAGAAATACACTCTTGAACCCAATTCCTGGAAAAGAAAAACAGTCATGTTTCCAAAGCCTATATAGAAAATATAGTCGAGCACATCTTCAAGCACGTTTATAATCAAACCACTCGAAAACAAAAATCGTAGATAGCACGACATATTTCACATCAGATCCAGTACCATTAACAGCATAACAATGAGATAATAGAAACTGGATGAAAAATTTGCTGAAAACAAATTTCTGAACAAGGTGTAAAAATGTGTAAATACAGAAAGAGGCGTCACATCTTTCTTCTTTTAGGAAGGGAGCGGGCATGTGGCAATGTGATTCATGTTTGTCTACTTTCAACGGGCTCGTCCAAAATTAGGGAAAATCTTTTGTTTTCACCACTTACCAAATGTTCATGGATTAAATGTTTTAGCCCCTCTTTGGTACCTATTAAAGTATAGATTTTAATCTAAGTCAAAGTCAACAATTCATTTCAACCACATATTTTATGGGTCCAACAACTTTTCAACCACACATCTCGTCAACTTCTATCAATATCTACTAAAAATCTGATTTTAATCTCCATCAAACAGTGTCAAAATTTTCCGCAACAAATAGACTGATGGAAGAATTATTTGATACACATCCAATTTGTAAGTGACTGAGAATGGAAAATGTATAAAATAGTTACCTTTCTCGCCAATATAACCACGTCTGCGGTTGTTCTTTTTGGTGGATCGTCCAACGCTACAAATTGACTCAATGTTCTTAGGGGAGAAACCCTTCTCATTGTTAAAGATCAGTAATGTAGAGGTTGCTCCAGTTCCTGTAATATCCTTAGAAGTTATGACAAATTGCAGCGAAGGATCCACGCCTTCCTCGTACTCATTATCCTCGGCATTCTGTTACATAATAGTAAATTAAACTTGTTACTAAATCATAAAAAAACTATGATTACACTCCTGTCCACCAATGCATAAGAGGATGAAGAGATCCATGCACAAAAATTATAAGAACATTTATATGTTATTCTGGCATTTATGAAACTATCATGTATCTGTCTTATGAGCACGTATTACTTCTAAAAATACAAAAGTGTACAAATCTATATCTATTTTTGCAGCACATGAAAAAAGAAGAAGAAGATAAATATCCATCCCGGATAAGATTAAAAACCCCTTAACATATTTTGCTACCAAATGATTATTATTAATAAAAATGGAAATCCGTTGTCCCAAATAAAAGCAGATGTATCAGCATGTTTGGCTAGGCTTGGATCCTTCGCTGCAATTTGTATATTTATCTTTCAAATGCTTTCGAGTCATCACTAAACTTCATAATATTTTCGAGTAAAGTTGATTTTCTATGAGATTCAACTTAGATCAAAAAAATAAAATAAATATCGAATAGATAATGAGACACTCAATTTAAGACGAGAATATTGATTGATATTGGTCGACAAGATATAACTTCTTTAGTCGTCAGAAGCTATGTTCAATAATGCTAGCTTCAAATTGACATAAATCTTAATTTTGATTACAATATTCATGTACGTGGAGAAAATAAAATAAGTAAAGTATTTATTTATTTCGGTTGAGATCGTAGACCGGAAATAAAAAATTATATCTCAAACAGTTCGCAGTGAAACTTTTGATTTAGAGTCAACGATATTAATCAAGACTAACAAAATATAATTTTTAGAGTTGTCACAAGATAATTTAAGAAGAAATAATGAAGTCGTCTTCCTATATGATATTTTATACTTCTAAATTTTCAATTTTTGAACGGTTGAATTCAACGAGTAAAGTTCACTAACCACTTAAAGTTCAGTGAATAAAAATGTGAAGGATGTATAAATTCAGCAATGGAAATATGGAACATGGTGAGTAAGCGATGAATTTGCAACATATTAAATTACAGTGATCACTCGAAATTATTTTACATTTGTGTGAGTAAAACGTGACACATATATTACTAAGGATTAATCTATGTGTACATAGATGTACATGTAGAGGTTCACATAATGTGAATGGGGTGTGGCACATGATACTGTAGCATGGGTGCCACCTCACTCACATTATGTGAACCCCTGTATGTATATCTATGTACACATAGCATAACTCTATTACTAATGAATCATATAGTAAGAGAAATACTTTATATATTTACAGTAAAATTATTCATGAACCTCTATTACATACTGTATTTAATGAAGTTGTTATCATAACAAAAAGCGATAAACAACACAGATGAAAATATAATGGAGACTGCGAATAGATCAATAGTGCTTTTGTGTATAGATACGTACAGATGTATGCATATACATGCTCACACAGACAGTCACTGACCTGGATGAGTTCCATGAGAAAGTGAACATCCTTAGCGTAGAGCTCTGCAGAGAGATTTTTAACAGCCTGATGAAGATCCTCTGTGAGTGGATTCGTTTCTTCAGCTCCAATCGAAAACTTGTTTCTCCTTATTTCCTCTATGTGCTCCCTTGGTGTCGCCATTACTGCCCTGTGGCAGTGTAGTACTACAGCACGACGCTTTTCTGTGTAGCACTCTGAGATTGAAGGAGAATTGTGAGAAATGAAGAAGAAGCGAAAGCTCTAGCATGTGTATATATATTACTGAGTTGAAGTGTAGACGAAGACTCGCTGATTAAGAAAGCAGGAGAGGAAGGAGAAAATGGAGGGAAAGAATCACATTTTTCGTGGAAACAACTTTCTTTTTTACTTCCAAAAAAAAAAAAAAAAATCTTACAATTATTTTTTCTGTAATTTTATTTTCAAGAATGTATTTGTTGGTCTTTTTACTCGAAGAAAGCCCCCATTTGGCCCATTATTCTCCATTAAATTATAAGTCATTTGTGTATCTATTTTTATCAACCACACATTCTACAATAAAATAATATTACACGTAAACTCAAAATTTTTCCTTCATTTTTAACTAAGCATTCTGCAAAAATTACTATTTCTGTCATTATAATTTAGAATAATTGAGACCAAATGGGCGCTTATGGTTAAAATAAATAATTTATTTCCTTGTAATTTTATCAATAGAAAAAATTGTTTCTTTTTAAGTTGATTACTAATGTTAAGCATTCATTCATCACATCAGTGATGTTGGCAATTTCACGACAATATCAACGATCAAATAATTCTTGTGTATCTAACAAATAAAAATTGATTGTAAAAAAATTAAATCAAACTCGAATTCTAGTTAAAACTTGCTACCTACAAATGTGATTAAACTTGCCACATTCGACCAAATACTTTTCGGATACATTTATTGTTAACATAATCATTTATTGACGAAAATTCATATTTATATTCTCGAACATTTTGAACTAATAATTTTTTTTTTCACATCAAGTACAATCTAGAATTAGATACCAAATATACTATGCTCCGAGGTAGATAAAAATTAATTTTTTAGTAAATTTTGATAAAAAAATACATTTTGAACTAATAATTTTTTTTTTCCCATCAAGTACAATCTAGAATTAGATACCAAATATACTATGCTCCGAGGTAGATAAAAATTAATTTTTTAGTAAATTTTGATAAAAAAAATTAATGAAATATGTGGTTCAAAAATCGTGAATTTCATGAAATATATAATTAAATTAATTATTAATTTTAACTTAAATTTTAATCCAATATTTAAGTAGGGGCAATCTGTTGCCTTCACCTCTTTGTCAGGGTTCACATTTGAAGCCATTGCACCAAATTGAACAATAGGTTTTCCTTTCATATCTGGCAAGACTCGGTACAAAGTACGGACCAAGCCGTGCCATAAATGACCGTCACGTTTGGTGGTCCGGTCAGCAAAGAACTTAGGGATTAAGGGCCTGTTTGGTACAGCTTTTCATTTTCTACAGTAAATCAATTCTCATTTTCAACCACACATTCTTCAATAAAATAATATTTTCCATCACATCAATACTTTTTTCTTCTTTTTCAACCACACATTTCCCATCATATCACTATTCAAAAATCTAATCAATTCTCATTTTCAACCACACATTCTTCAATAAAATAATATTTTCCATCACATCAATATTTTTTTCTTCATTTTCAACCACACATTTCCCATCATATCACTATTCAAAAATCAATTCTTCCCCCATAAATCTCTACCAAACACACTCTAAGAATGCTTGTGATAAGAAAAAGAGGAATAAGTGGGGACAGAATTTATGACTCATTAAAAGAGGCAAAAGAAAAGGCGAATTGTACGGACCGGAGAAAAGTCACTATCTATTTTTAAGTCGTCGTGAAGTCATTGCCTTCTTTTTCCTTGAAAGTAAGCTCTTATTTGGTTTTATTAAATTAAAATTCATTTTTCTCTTTTTATTAGTCATCAATTTTTTAATAAAATAATATTACATATAAATCTAAAAAAATTTCTTCTTTTTTAACCACACATTCTTCAAAAAATTATTATTCATCTCATTATAATCTACAATAATGGAGCCCGAACATGGACTAAAATCATTCTTAAGTGGGTACATTTTCGTCTACTTTGCCGGTTTGCCCCCTTATTAATTCAACTAAAAAATTAAATTAAAATTTAAGTTCAAATTAATAATTAATTTTAATCACACATTTTATGAAATTTATAATTTTTTAATCACACATTTTATCAACTTTTATCAAAATCTACTAAAAATCTGATTTTAATCCTTACCAAACAGGGTGTTAGTCTAAAATGGACTTTCGAGCATGGTGAAATAACATATTATACTAATCACACATTTTATCAACTTTTACAAAAAATCTAATTTTTATCTGAACCAAACATCGAAATGTTTTCTCACGACGGTAGTTTAGAAGTTGCCTAGCACAACAGATGGATTCATTCCCACAACAAATAACACTAGAGTCAAAGCAATAATGGTGCCTTTACTCCATTGGAAAGAAAAGGGCATGCTATTACTTTATTTCCTGGTAATTTCCGTACTTAATGCAAATATGTTTAGCCCATGATGAGTTTGCAAAAGAGCAAGCACGCGCACACACAAAGGCGGGCAAAGAATAACTGGGACGAATGAAAACATAGAAACAATAAACGACTAATGTTCTTTAGGGATGACAATGGTTGGGTTTGGGGTCAGTTCGGCCAAAACCATAATCGCACCCTAACCACGTTAGTCGGTTCGGTTCTTTTTGATTAATAACCACGAAAATACATTATTTTTTATAAGTTCAAACTCCAAACGTCAAAGTGAAAAAAAAAAAATTAATAAGAAAAGTAAATAAAAATAAAGAACAATATGAAAATGCAAACAATATCCCAACTTCCAAATGCAAAAATCGAATTTAACAAACAACATTATCAATATAGGTCAAGACTCTTACTAACATAGGTCAATCTTCATTCTTCCCCACAACTCTTACTATCATGGTCAAGAGTCAATGCTCAAAGTTGATTTCTATATAGTAAATAAGAAATGTAATTAGCGCAATAATATAATCATACTACCTAATCAAGAATGATCTTAACAGGAGATTTAATCAAAAAAAGAACATTATAATCATACTACCTAATCAAGAACGATCTTAACTGAAGACATGATTACTATGATGGTCATCTCCTGTAAAGTCAAATTCAAGTTTCGCATACTATGTTTTATGTATTGACGATTATTTTCGTTTCACTTGGCTTCACCCATTGAAATTGAAATCCGACTCTTAAATATTTTTATTTAATTTCAAAAATTTGTAGAAAATCAACATTCTGCTCGCATAAAAACTTTTCAAAGTGATAGTGGGGGCAGAATTCAGTAGCAACCGGTTTAAAACGCACCTTACTTCCTCCGACATTCATCATCAAATCTCTTGCCCACATACACCCGCACAAAATGGTTGCGCAGAAAGGAATAGGTCTGGCCCTCCTTTTCCATTCTCACGTTCTCACTCATTTTTGGGTTAATACTTTTAGCACTGCGACTTACATCATGAACCATTTGCCCACACCACTTCTCGGAGATAAGTCACCCTTTAATAAGCTTTTATATAGTTCCTCTCCCAATTATGAAGATTTTCGTCCATTTGGTTGTCGTGTTTATCCTTGTATACATGATTACAGTCACACACAAGTTTTTCCCTCGTAGCATTCTGTGCATTTTTATGGGTTATAATTCACCTTATAAAGGTTTTCGTTGTCTTGAACCCATCACCTCCAGATTCCAGATCACTCGTCATGCCCAATTTGATGAGAACCACTTTCCATTCAACATACTTCCCAAGCCAAAACCATATCCTCCCTCCCACATACATACCCTTGCCATCCCATACACTACACTACACTACTGACATATTTCTCAATCCGGATCCACCCCGTGTATTATTTGTATTGATCCAATGGGTGAGTCTTTGCAGGCAGCCGATTCTCATACAGATTCATCTTTGTCACATTTGGACTTCATACATGCTTCCCTGGAGCCTATCACTAAGTTGCCTATCATTGGTCGTACTCCTATTGCTGTCACTCCATTGGGTTCTCATCCTATGCTCACACGAGCTAAAGTCGGCATCTTCAAAGTGTGTCACCTAGTGCATCTTGACATTGTGGGTTCTTGTAGCCTTCTCTCTGCTTTTATTGCATAAGCTGAGCCTAAAGGATTCAAATTTGTTACTAAGAATCCTGCTTGGCTTGCTGCTATGGATGAAAAAGTTCAAGCCCTGCAAAATAATAGTTCCTGGATTTTGGTTTCTCGACCTGCCAACACCAACATTATAGGTTCTAAATGGGAGTTTCAGACCTAATATTTTATCTGATGGTTCCATTAAGCATCTCAAAGCCCATCTTATTGCTAAGGGCTACACATGGGTATACACTGACACTGTTAGCCTTGTCATCAAGGCTACCATAGTCCATGTTGTCCTTTCTTGCTGTGACCAACAAATGAACTCTTCGTCAACTTGATATCAAAAATGGATTCCTAAATGGCCATCTCACTAAACATGTTTATATGGAGCAACCTCCTAGGTACATTAACCATCACTTTCCTAATCATTTTGTCAATTGCAGAAAGCTCTATATGGTTTAAAGCAAGCTCCCCGTGCCTTGTTTTAGCGCCTCGGCTCTTTTCTCATTCAACTTGGTTTTTACTACAGTCGCGCATATACGTATCTATTCATTTTTCATGAGCACCTGGACATAATTTATCTACTTCTCTACGATGTTGACATCATTATTACAGGAACAATTCTTCTCTTATTGATAGTTTCACTTGCTAACTCAATTCTAAGTTTACCACTAAAGATTTGGGTCCTCTTAATTACTTTCTTGGTCTTGAAGTTACAACTACCTCTGACGGCCTCTACATCAGTCAATTGAAATATGCACGGGACATTCTCACACGTGCCCAGCTACTGACAACAAACATGTTCACACCCCCATGGTTGTTTCACAGCACCTGTTTGTTGACGGTCCCCTGTTCTCGAATCCTACACTTTACGGATCTCTTTTTGGTGCTCTCCAATATCTGACCATCACCAGT